GCTGCAACAAGACACCCAAAAGAGGCCTCCCCAATTTTGCACTTCCGTTTCCTCTGGCCACACAAAACACTCAGCATAACCAACATTCCAATCTGCCTTTTGCTGTTTTGTCATTGCTTTATACGCACAGGCTTTTTAAAGCCTGCGCCGTTCCGCCACCCAACCTCATTTTAAGGCCTTCTGCGCTGTGTTTTAGCATAAGTTTACTCTGCAGAAAACTTGTATCTAAAGCAATAAAAGCCCAAGAAAAGTGCTGGTAACTGTAGCTAAGGTACTTACATGGTAATACAATTTCAAATGGACCTCTAGCTCAGGGAAATCTTGGAGATGCTGGCTCACTGAAAAAATGAGCCAGTAAAGCAAATAATCTACTGCTGCAAAGAGAGCCCAGGTGCAAAGGTTAGCAAGCACAGGGAGAAAAAAGCGTGCCGTGCATTTCCTTTCTTTCTGGGTCTGGCAAAAGGATGGAACCATTGTGTACAGCTCCCTTTCTTCTTTGCTGAGGGGAAGGACGCAGAGCTTCCTTCGCTGCCGCTGCCGCTCATCGTAGCGAATAAACGCTTTCGTAATGTAAGTGTTCTTAAACTTGATGTTGTGGGGACTCAGGAATTTCCTCATGAAGTGTAATGTCCCAAGAACGATGAAAAGAACCCCCAGCAGAGGGAGCACTTTCTTGCCCAGGTAGGGCGGTAGGGCTAGTATGGAGGAAATCTGGCTGGCAACGTTCTGGATGTGGAGCCTCGTCTCACTCAACCTCAGCTTCAAGCCTTCGTCCGAAACGGCGTAAGACACATTCAGCTTGTCCTTCACTGACACAACGTCTTTGAACGGGTTGCCCAAGATCTTGCTCTGATTGTATATCCACCGAATCGCTTCGATGTAGCGGCCGAGGAAGGAGAAACGCTGCGATTGAAGGATGCAAGTGATGCTGTCTACCAGCTGATTTAGGTTGTGGAAGATGTTTTGGATGTTGCCAGCTACCACCGCCCCAGTCCCGGCAGCGATCAGGGCATTCCTTCCTTCGCGCAGGCCACAGGAAAGGAAGAAAAGCGCAGCAAAGCATCGCAGGTGCCTGGACAGAAACAAACCCATGGAAAGGGCAATCCAGAGGAATGGGGGTGCGACTGCAGAGAACGTGGGGTAGTCCGCTAGGAAGGAATACCCTGCTAGGAACAGGAACACATTCACCATCAAACTGACGGAGCTGCAGATCGCAAACAGACACAATCGGCCCTTCCAGCCAGACTTCTTTTCGCCCACAAAATGTGTCCATATGTGCTGAGCAAACGCAGCAAAAGAAGTCATTTTCTTCAAGGGTCTGGAGATCCAGTAATGGTGACTGGGAATGGAAACAGATAGATGCCAAATTTATCTCTTAAGCAATCTATGGAGGTTATGCTTTATTCCTCAAAACTGAAAGACCTACCAGCACAGTTCTCATATATATCCAGGCGATCTGCACTAATGACACGATATCAAGCTAATTTCAGCTGAGCAGGAGTTGAATAGGCAGCTGACATCTTGGAGGCAAGAAAGGAGCACTACGTCCAGGGCATTTTGATCTTGCATGATGATTCCTTAGACTGTCTGAATCTCTTCTCCTTGGGGCCTATCATGGGAGTTCACTGACCCTTTTCGAAGGGGTGGCTGTACCCTGAAGCTGAATGGATGGTGCAAATGGTTGTTTGATTACTCTGCCACTTAATCCAGGTTGTTGTTCAGTGTAAAAAGAAATAAACCAGAGGGAATTAATTCAACTCAATACATTCAATAGTAATTTTTTTAGCCATATTTCCTACTTCCAATGCCACTGGGAGAATCAGTCCATCTCTTTTTATTATAAAATAAAATAAATGCGTTTAAGAGACATCAGCTACATTGTTTATAGTTCACCAAGCAACACAACTCCAGCTTTCACTTGTTACTTGGCTCCCATTGTTTCCACATAACAAGTTTTCTCTAAAGAGGCAGAACTGATTTATATGCATATTAGATTTTTTAACACAACACAATCAATCAGATTCTAATTAAATAAGATAAACTTTTCCAATTTTGTCCTGTAATGAGAGTCTGTTGCCTTAACAAATACTATTTTATAAGGATAACTTTATCTTTTGTTTTCAGCTCAGACACAGCAGGTTCCTAGGAAGTGGGGTAGATGTTTATACAGACACAGATCTTAAGATTATTAATATACTTCCCATTTGTGGATTGTATCATTATTCATGTGCCTGTATTACTATCTGCTCCGGCTCCAAAACAGAGATGAAGGAAGAGTAGGAATTTTCCAAAGATTACACCCTGGAAATCAAAAGACCTTGAAGAACACCTTTCCCCATACCATCTCTCCTCCCTCCCCACCCCAATTGCCTGTTCAGAGTATCATTAGTGAAGGAGGTAATAATAGTGGTGGGCTGGAACACCACATTTTTCTGTAGCGGCCCTAAGACTATGAGGAGGTGTGCTCCAAACCTGGGAAGCCCATCAACGCCTCTCTCTTTTGTCCTTGGCTTTGACTGAAGGCTAAACTAATTTACATGGCAAATCACGGTAAAGGCAGCCATTTAACAAAATGGTGTCCTCCTGGTTTCTGTACACAAATGTCCCTAAGGGTTTCTCCCTGTTCTTTTATATGCATTTTCTATCTATGGCGTATGACAAGGCCTTCTTGGTGGTGGCTCCTTGTTTGTGGAATGCCCTTCCTAGCAAGGTGCATCTGCCTGCAACATTAACAACTTTTAGGAGGGATTTTTATAAAGTTCCTGTTCACCCAGACATTTGATGGCTGAAATACACTGTTTCCAGCAACCTTCACATTAGCCTGTATGCACTGGTGGTAACTTGTCTTGAACAAATAGTTACCCATGTTGCTGCTGCTCCCCTGAATGTGTCCAGCGGCCCCAAGGTCCTGCAACAAGCAAAACAGCCTTGTTGGCCAAAACAGAAGCATTCTCTCAGCCCCTGATTAATCATGCAGTCCTAAGCACACTTACTAATAAGTCAGTCCGATTGAGCCTATTGACTTATTTCAGAGGTAATTTCATTTGTATTGCAATGCATGCCTGCTATCCGATGTATGCATACTTTGTAATAAGTATATTGAACTTATTGGAACATATAGGTTGGGACTCTTAACACCAGTACAGAAAAAGGGGGCGGGGAGCAGGAATGTTACTCTATACATTTCTGGCAGTACCTTGATGCTCAAGAATCTTTTTTGAAAGGCGATGCACTCGGCGAATCCAATTTGTAATGGATATGAAGCTGATGCCTTAGATCCTTTTGGTCCCCTGCATTGAGACTTCTGAATATTCTTGTACCTCCTTCCTTCTATTTATTCATAGCTGGACTCAGCTTTGTACCCTGTAACCAGCAGCCAACATTCTTGTTTGTTGTTATTGATTAAAACTATATTATAAAACAAACCACATTAATACTCATTTGCAGCCTGCTTAAAAACATAATTCTCAAGATTTACTTACAGATTCTCCTGCAAGGCACATTACGATTTTTTCATGGAGTGGTGCTTCTTGATTGTGTGGGGAAGGACTGACTAGTGCTGCAAAGAAGTTTATGCTGAATCATCCCAGCCGTTCAACCCACCCACCCACCTAATGCGTCAGACCATTCTGAGATGGCTCTTGTTTTGATGATGATAAATGTGACTGAAACAGAATGTGGGTAAAATGGGGAAGTTATTTGCATTAAGAACTGTGGCCGATCTAGGTAAAATTCATTGGCATAATGATCTCCACTTACAAATAAAAGATGATGTTCAGAGTGGCACATGAAGGTGGGCAAATCCACCTCTGCTAGGGTAAGGGAGAATGGTAGGAAATATTTATCATTACTACCTCACTCCCTACACCTTCCACAGAATAATACACTCTTGCCACTATGCTGGAGAGGCTGTGAGTAGGGCACATTTTTTCACATGTGGTGGTTGTGTCCTGATTTTGCTGCATTCTGGAAAGATGACTTCAAGGAAATTAACAAAATTACCTGTCAATCCCTTCTCTCTGATCCACAACTGGCATTGATGCATATATTTGAAGGGCAGACTATGTCAGTAATGTATAAAAGATGTGGTGGCTGCATGACTTGTGATCGCCAAGAACTGCCATCAGCCTTTTTTCCTTGCTGGTACCACGAGATCTGGAATTTGACAATGATGGAGAAGTTAACACAGAGACTCAAGGCATTAAGTAAAGGAACTCAATCAGATTCCAAGATACATCTTTATTGCATTTATTTATTGAGACTTTCCCACCCCCTTGGAAAGCGATGGGAAAATGAATAAGTACAGTGGTACCTCAGGTTAAGAACTTCATTCATTCGGAAATGACTGGCAGAATCCGAGACCAGGGAGAAGAGTCGGTGGAAGAAGACTGGAAAAAGTTTAAAGATTATTTACACAAATACTGTAAAATTAATGAATGTTAGAAGAATGTTGGAACGGAGTTATATGGCTTTAGTAGAAATGTTAGAAGGAATTAAGTATAAATAGATTAATAGAATATTAAAGGAAAAAATAAGGTTAGAATGTGTTAAGATAATTATAGGATAGAAAATAGAGGAAGATGGAAAGGAATTGCTGAAACAATTAACAGAAGTGGAATACAAAAACGGAGGTGTGAGGAGGTCGTTGAAATAAGTAAATGAAAGATAAGATACTGAAATTGTTTGATGTGTTTTAAGCTGTTTTTGTTTGGTTATGTGTCAGTGTTATGTAGTGTTTTTGTATTGTATTGTATTGTTCTTTTTTTGTAGTGTTGTGTTTAAATTGTTGGAAAAGTAATAAATATTATTTTCACACACACACAAAAAGAACGTCATTCGTTCTGGAGGTCCATTCTTAACCTGAAACTGTTCTTAACCTGAGGTAAAACTTTAGCTAATAGGGCCTCCTGCTGCCGCTGTATCGCAATTTCTGTTCTCACCTGAAGCAAAGATCTTAACCCGAGGTACTATTTCTGGGTTAGCAGAGCGGAGTCTGTAACCTGAAGCGTCTGTAACCCGAGGTACCACTGTAAACATTTCTGATAAATGAATAGGGGGAAGAGAAACAGAACATTACTCAGCAAATGGTTTAGATTATCAGCAAGCTGGAAAATCTACTTATTTACCACTAATTATTAATAGTTTTGAATAAGAGGAACATTGTGGTTGTTTTTACCATCATATATATTGGAATAACAGGAACTGCTGAAGAATTGCTGAAGAATTGAAGGGAGATGCAGTGGAATGACCTCTTCTGTTCCTAAAAGGAGGACCAGAATTTTTATGATAATTGCTTTATGGTGGAATGAATGTGTATCCTCCTCCCACCTCCCTCTGCTCCTCAGTGTGAGTCACATGCCTTGAGAAACATTTCATTGTGTGAAAAAGAAGAAGTGCAACTGTTTTGTAACAGTTTGCAACGGCATTGCTTTGAAACTGAGTGTGAATGTAACTGAAAGAAAATTACTGTATTTTGTTTGTTACATAGATACACCCCACGTTTCCATCAAAAATGCCCACGGCAGCTAAACAACAATAACATGCAGAATAAAAAAATAATCAAATCACCAACAAGTAAGCAATATGACACAAAACAACAACAACAGATTAGAGCAGATAAAAATGGCAGCTAGTTAAAATACAATTAAATGAGAAATGTGGGTGTCAGAGCTGCCCTAGGTCCCAGCTCACAAAGGACCAATGCCAGTTCGTTGTTATATAAAACAGTCTTTATTGAAGCTCAGTTTCGCTTTCACAGCCGCGGCGCGCAGCCCTACGTCTCAAACTCTAGACCGCCGAAGCTCCGTCTGAGTCTCCTCCCCCCAGACACCAGTTTAAGACTCTAGCCTTGCTCCACCTCTTCCTTTGCTCTTTCCTCCTCTGGGTCCGCCTGTCTGCTGGGGTCTTCCCCTTCCTAGACTCTTCTGACGCTGAGTCCCCTGAGTCTTCCCCCTGCCTCCGGCGGGCTTTAGGACCTGGTTCCCAATCCGGGTTTTCTGCTGTCCCACGCGCCTGTACATTCGAACTTGGCGCGCGCGCCCAGCCAGTCACCTTCCTCCTGACCGTTACACTGCTCCTGTCACTGCTCCCCCCTTCGGGGAGGCTAGCTGGATCTGACCTCCCCTCCGTTTCCCCGCTCTCCGATAGAGGCGTGGTCAGCCCTGACTCATCTTCTCTCCCTGCTGGAGGAGACGCTGGCCCTGACACATGGGACCCTTCCCCGCTGCTATGCTCTGGTGGGGAAGCTGGTCCTGATCTCCAGCTGCTGCTTTGGGAGTCCCCGCTGGCCCCTTGCTTCTGGTGCGTCCCCCCTGGGACCCCCCTTGCCCTGACCATCGGCGCCCCCTTCTGGGAATCTTCTGATTTGCTGGAGAGGCTCATGGAATCTCTCGGGTCACTGTCATTCTCCCCTCCGCTGCCCTCAGATTCTTCCCCTTCGCTCTCCATCTCCTCTCTCCCCTGTGCCTCTGCTCCTGAGCCCCTGACAGTGGGCTTAAATACTGCAGAGCAAAACAAAACAACCCAGCAGGCCAAGTGGATATTTACATTTTTTGAAGGGCTTTGCCTGTTTGCAGAAGACCATCAACAAGGGGGCTGGACAAGCCCCATCTGGTAGGAAAATCCAAAGTCTGAGGACACATTCAAGAGGTTGCTGCAATCAATATCTGTACGATGCACACATTTCTAAACACATTTCCATCTCATTCACAATTTTGGGTACCCACTTTTTAAAATTCTTAAGTGTAAACCTAAAAACGCAGTAGCTAAAATCCAGCATGGAGTTTGCCATTCTTAAAGTCCCACTGATTTCAATGGCGCTTAAATGCACATACATGTGCCCTGGGTTGTGTGAAGAAGGCACAATTCCACATGCAATATTCCTGTAAAGAAATGTGAGAAGAAGAATTTGCAGTGCAATGATTTCAATGGATCTCAAACAGGATAAGATCCCTGAAATGATCCATGATTGAATGTATAACTGGGATGATCAAGTTCCCTACCTCATCTTACATGACTCTGGAAATAGGAGTGAAATATACGTCAATCATAATTGAAAGTGATTCCAAGGTTTGGGGAAATAAAGGGAAGACGCTAGAATCTTTGGTAAATCACAGAACTAGTTGTTGACAATGAAAGTGAACTCCCAGGACAAACTGCAGCAGCCCCAGTCAGAGAAAGTTATTGGCACCTAAGACCAATTGAAAACAATGGAACTTAAATTAGTCACGGCTGATTTGTCCTATTGATTTCAACATGATTTAGGTGGAACTAGTTTTCTCCCATTCCTTCTGCTTTCCTGGATTTCTGATCAGGTGTATACATGGAATAAGACTCCGCACATATGCTGGAATAATACATATGCCTTTGGAAGCTCTCAGGTATGGTGTTAAAGTGATGAATACCCTTTATCCTCCCTGCATCTGGAACCCAGCATGCACTACCTCTGAACATGGAGGTTCAACTTCACTATCATAGCTAATGGAAATTGTGTGATCCTATTCATATCTGTGATATACCCACTTGAATATGTCTGATCCCTCCAATCTGGTCGCCATCCCCATGGATGTCTATAATGGGCTCTGAAATTGCATGGAACTCACTGACAAATCACTTTTTGTTAGAAACTCCATTTCACCACTTCTAAAATTGGAATGAGACACAACTAGCAAAATATTATGCATGTTGATTCCACAAAGTTCCACTGTGCTCAGTGGGATTGCTCCCAGGAAAGTGCGTACAGGATTGCAGCCCAAGGGTGAAATCCCAAGATTGCATACCCATTGACTTATTTCTGAACAAACTTGCTGAAGAGTATGCTGTTAAAATGGAGTAAGGATCAAACTAAAGTTTGCTTATTTTTTCTTTAAAAGTTTATGTTGCTTGATTGTAAAAAAAAAGACTCAAAATGGTTTTCAAAAGTGACACTATTGTTAATGTCTATGTCAAATATATGCAAATGATGATAAAGTGATACAGATATGAGCATTAAAACTGGTATTTAGATGCAAGTAAAGGTAAAGGGACCCCTGACCATTAGGACCAGTCGCAGACGACTCTGGGGTTGCAGCGCTCATCTTGCTTTACTGGCCAAGTACAGCTTCTGGGTCATGTGGCCAGCATGACTAAGTCACTTCTGGTGAACCAGAGCAGTGCACAGAAATGCCATTTACCTTCCTGCCAGAGCGGTATCTATTTATCTACTTGCACTTTTTGGCATGCTTTCGAACTGCTCGATTGGCAGGAGCAGGGACCGAGCAACAGGAGCTCACCCCATTGCGGGGATTCGAACTGCCAACCTTCTGATCGGCAAGTCCTAGGCTCTGTGGTTTAACCCACAGCGCCACCCATTTAGATGCAAGCTGACCCCCAATGCACAGCTCTTCGTTATTGAATATATTCTGCAATGAATAAATACATTCTGGGGGGAAATGTTATTTGCAATGAATAAAACGACTAAGAAGAAAACTATCATACTGGAGTGTGATTTTCCTGGCAGCTGGCTCCTCCAGCAGGTGCCGATAACACTGGAGCAAGGGGCCATGCTGGCTCACCACTGGAGCAAGCCAGACACCCACAGTGTGGCTCTGCCCCTGCTATTTCAAGGGCATCTACGAAATGGGATGCACAGCATGCATAACTCACACCAGTGTCTAGATTGTGCTGAATGCAAGAGTGTAATTGAATGTTGCATTAGAAGTGCCCCAGACATATATCAGTATGTCAATACAACCTGCATTCTTTTCCCTGCAAAAATCCTGCTACCTCATAAGAAGCACTGCATAGATAGCAAGTAAGAAGTACAGACTTAAGAGCTGCCCTTCATGCATTCCAAAAAACAATAGTGAGGAAGGCAGGGAGTGGGGCATTTGGTGAGCCCCCCTCCCCCCAATACCAGCATCGACAACCAGCACACTTAGGGAACTGTTGTCCTCAGCACCTTGGAAGGCCCACCTGCACCGTCACGGTCCAACAGTTTGGTCTGAGAGCCACTAATTTTCAGGGGGTTGGACTAGATGATCTTCATGGTCCCTTTCCAACTCTATGATTCTATGATTTCCCATAATTCCCAAGGTTTGGTCATTCAGCACAATTCCCCAGAGCAAATGCTATGTCAGAGGCATCGTGGGAAATTCAAATGGTGGATTGTTCACCAATTGAAGCACCGCCATTGTTGGTCACCAGGAAACACAGCAGAGACCCGCGATGTAGAAGAAGGTCCATCAGAGGACACTTCTGAGACAGATCATGAAGATACCCAGCAAAGTATTTCTTTCTGCAAAAACCTAAAAGGTCAGATGACAGCCTGAAATCTGTTTAGATTTTGGTAAACTGCAATAACTATTCTAAACATTCTAAACAGAGAGAGATTAAGCTTTCCCTCAGGTGAACACAGAGATGAGGAATGATTGAAAGATGAACGTGAGGCAGTTTTTATGTGCATTTCAGAGTCTTGTATATATGCTCCCAAAGGTGAGTTGAATCATGCATTTTCCTGATAGCATAACAGCGTACTGCCTTCCCTGTAAGGATCTGAAGGTGAAATATTATGGAGCAGAACTTCTTTCTGGGGAAGTAATTTATGGATTTTAGTCCAAGTGTGTGGAGGATCAACCTCTGCTAATTTTTTGAGGCGCTCTTCAACTTTTCCTAGTTACATGTCATGCACACCCTGAAAGTATAACAACTTTTATTTATTTATTTTATTTATTATCAGCTTCAGCCAAACTGATCTTCCGCTTGGACTACTGCAATGCGCTCTATGTGGGGCTACCTTTGAAGGTGACCCGGAAACTACAACTAATCCAGAATGCAGCAGCTAGACTGGTGACTGGGAGCGGCCGCAGAGACCACATAACACCGGTCTTGAAAGACCTACATTGGCTCCCAGTATGTTTCCGAGCACAATTCAAACTGTTCATGCTGACCTTTAAAGCCCTAAATGGCCTCGGCCCAGTAGACCTGAAAGAGTGTCTCCACCCCCATTGTTCAGCCCAGGCACTGAAGTCCAGCTCCGAAGGCCTTCTGGTAGTTCCCTCACTGCAAGAAGCAAAGTTACAGGGAACCAGGCAGAGGGCCTTCTCGGTTGTGGCGCCTACCCTGTGGAACGCCCTCCCACCAGATGTTAAGGAAATAAACAACTATTTGATTTTCTGAAGGCAGCCCTGTTTAGGGAAGTTTTTAATGTCTGATGTTTTAATGTATTTTTAATCTCCTGTTGGAAGCAGCCCAGAGTGGCTGGGGAAACCCAGCCAGATGGGC